TTTTTCTGCAGTCATGGAAGGCTGATAACACAGTCCAGGGACTTCCATAGCCATACTGGCCTGAGCCAGCAGGATCCTGAGAAGTGAGCCCACCCTGCCTCTCCTCTCCAAGAGGAGCTTCACAGATGAGAACAAGTTCTAAAATCTCTAATTTATCAGAAAAAAAAACAACTCTTCCCGTTATCCAAAAAGAACTCAGTGTACAGACCTGGAGTCAGAAGAGCAGACTGAGAGAGCTCTTGTGCTCCGAGGCTCCTATCCAATAACCGTTCTCCTTTTCCCCCACCTAACAGCACTCCTGGTGTTCAGATAGCCATGTGCGCAGTCTTTGGGGACAAGTCGTTATTGTTCATCATGTGTGTAACTATCTCGGTGCAGTGTGGCCTCCGGGTACTCTGTCAGGCAAGCTGTCTGGAGACACAGGGAGATGCATGGGCTGGTTTAAGATAATCTCGTCAAAGCCGAGTGTGATGGTGCACGCCTGTAATCCCAGCACTCGGGAGGCTGAGGCAGGAGGATCGCTGTGAGTTCGAGACCAGCCTGGGCTGCATAGTGAGTTCCAGGTCAGTCTCAATTACATAGTGAGATCCTGTCTCAAAAAAAGAACCAAAAAAAAAAAAAAAAACCCATACTCTTGTCACCCACTCTGTTGATTGCACTTGAAACCTGCAGTGAGGAACAAGGGGACAGAAATGATCAGGTGTGAGCAGGGCGTAAGGAGCCTGTGTTTTTGTGCCCTCTCCCTCCAGTCATCCATCTCCGTTAACTGTGTGGATATGAAAACAGTAGCTAAGGCTGAACCAAGGTGCGCCACGCTCAGAAGGCGCTGCTGGAGCTGCACATGCTCTGTGGGAGAAACGTAGGGACAGGCGCCCTGGGCTCCGGCCGCAGCCTGGTGGTGACCCTCAGGCAGCTGGGGAAGAGTACCAGGGAGACAGGGTGGGATCACAGAGGGCGCTCCGGGGCCCTGATCTGAGGGTGCCAGCTGTCAGCCTGGAATTGCCTGATCCTCCCCTCGTAAGCTGGGGTTTCGATCCCTTTCTGTCTGTAGGTTACCGCGTGCCTGTCCTTTTAATCAGTGCTTAACACCCATGTCCCGTGTGCTCTCTGTCTAGCGCGTCTCACGGATTATCAATTCACCATCTATACTTATCACGTCTCAGGAATTTTGCCTATTTTTTTTCTTTCTTGACTTTTCCAGTAGATTAAAATATTCTCACGAATACAGCCAGCCCATATTGTGTTAGTCTGGGCCGACTTCTGGCAATCTTGAGAAGTCTGTGTAGTCACACGACTTGGTTCTAGTCATTGAGATCCCAGGAAGAGTTTGTTTGGTTTTTGTTTTTGGGTTTTTTTTTGTGGTACTAGGGATTAGACCCAGCGACTTTTCACTGAGCCTGAATGACATCTCTAGCCTTGTTCTTTTGGTGGGGGTGTTGCTGGGGATTGAACCTAGGGCCTCCCAAATGCTAGGCAAGTGCTCTACCACTGAGCCGTTTCCTCAGCCCTTCACCTTGAACAGCTTACTCTGTGTCAGACATGGTTCTAAGCATTTCATTTTTAATTTTCACAATAATCATAAAGGTGACAATTGGTATTATTATTATTGTCACTTTGCACATGAGGAAACTATGGTGCCGAACTTAAGGTAACTTCCCTGAGGTCCCTCAGCTGGCAAAGGGTGGCCCTGCGACTGGAATTCTGACCCTGAGTTCAGGGAGCACACACTTGGACTCAGCGGTGTCGTCAGTGTTAGTTTCCTGTTGCTGCTGTAACAAATCACCACAAACGTTTGGCTGTAAACATCACAAACTTGTTACCGTACAGTTCTGAAGGTCAGCGGTCCCGCCGTCTTATGGGACCGAAATCAAGGTGTTGGCAGGCTCTGCTCCCAGGATATCGAGAGCAGTCTGTCTGCCTGGCCTTGTCAGCTCTCGAAGCTGCCCCAGTTTCTTACTTGTAGCTGCCCTGCTCTGATCTGTCTCCATCCTCACAACTCCTCTGACTCCTGCTCCCCTCCTATGAGGATGTCCGGGATCCTCTCCCCAACTCCAGTCCCTTCATCCCACCTGCAGAATCCCGTTATGGACATTCTGTTCACAGACATTTGGGGGTGCTGCTGTGAGTGCTGCACCATCCTATCCTGGGGGTCCTACGGTCCATATGCGGCGGCAGGCGGGCTCCCTCGAACCCTCTCCACTTTGCAAAGGCTTCTCCCTTGGTACGGCTCCCTCACAGCTGCAGCCCCTGGCAGGGGAGGGTATTTGGAGCCCAGCAGTGTGAACCACATAGGTGGGTCAGGCGTTAGCTTTTTCTAGTTCAGTTCCCCAGTCGGTTGACTATGTCGTGTGTGTGTGTGTGTGTGTTGGCGGTGCTATCTTTAAACCTTATTCCCTAGTATTTCTATTCCTCATTCTAGGCAGAGTGATTTCTCTCAGTTCCTTTGAATTCTTTCTTCCCTGGCCAACTGCTTGACGCCAGGTAATACCCTCCCTCCCAGCCTTCCTAAACCCGTCTCGGTGGTTCCGATCCCTCCCAGCAGCAGCCTTTCCCAGTCTGTTTTGTCTGTCTGAATAAATTCTCCCCAGAGATGTGACTTTCGGACGTATTTTTAGCTGCTGAAGAACTCTTTGTTGAAATGAGATCCCAATTTAGAAAAGCGGGTAGAGCTGGGCCCACACCTGTAATCCCAGCCACTGACGGGGCACCGAGGGAGGAGGATCACAAGATCAAGTCCAGCCTGAGCAACTTAGCGAAACCCCGTCATAAAATGAAATGGCTAGGGATGTAGGTTAGTGGTAAGGTGTTTGCCTAGCATGCACAAGGCTCTAGGCTCAATACCTAGTGCTAAAAAGGAAAAAAGGGGAGGGAAGCTCTTTGGGGAGCTCTTTTTCTTTGTTCCTCAGTTTGAAACTCATTGCTCTGCATCCTCTCCTGAGTCTTGCCTCGGTGATTTGCCTCTCTTTAGTTAAGTGTCTTCTCGCTCACGACTGCCTTTAGTGCCTTGGACAACATGAAACATCCTTTCTCTCTGTGGCTCTCGTGCCACTTGAAGTCACATTTAAAAAAAATGCAAAACATTTTAACTTTCTCGCTCCCGCCCAACACAGTCACCTGAGGGGCTTCCTCTCACCTGCTCACATCCATACCTGCTCATGGCTGCAGGGAGGGAAGCCACCCTGAAGTGGGCTGGCAGCCAGCGGCCCCTTACTCGTTCTCTGTAATGTGAGGACCTCAGAGTCCTCCACTTATGTAGACTGCAGCTCCTTGATTACTGCACAGTTGACATATTTCTTCCCAGAGAGTTCTTTCTGGCGATAACTTGGAAGAGCAGAAGCCTTCCACCGTGGCGAGGCCTAGAGTTCCAGTGACCCGAGTGAGGGCAGGCACGCCCGTGGTGGAGTCTCAGGACGAGCTGCACGGAGCTCCTCCTGAAGCAGATGTGAATCCTGTGACCACCGCTCCAAGCCAGGCTTGGCATGGGGTTTCTTCCCCGTTGGTAGCTCTGGCTCAAAGAGTTGCATGGGATTCCTATAGACTCAGGAACTGGAGGGCTGTGTTTTTGTAGCTCTTTAACTCAGGGGACCCTGAACCTCAGGAAACCCAAGAAACTTACATTTCCAGGTTTCTCACTTGCGGGAGTCCCTTCCAAGTCCTCTTCTTCTCTCATTCTAAATAAGGAACAAATCCCATTACCTACCTTTCTTTAAAACTGTCTTCTTCTTCTTTTTTTTTTTTTTTTTTTTCCAGCCCTGCGGATCAAACTCAGGTCCTTGTGCTTACAAGGCAGGTGGAGGAACCACTGAGCTAAATCCCCAGCCAATAACTGTATTCTTCTTAAAGCCTTCCAAATGCTATAAACTTCTGGATGCATCCCTGGAACTGTGGATTCAAGACTCTCTCCAGGGAGCCAGGGACCCATGCGCCAGGGGACTGCCTCTGTGAGGACAGGCAGAGATTCTTGTCTCTAGGGCTTCACAAGGTGTCCCTGGTGCTCTGTCTCTGCTAGAAGGCAGGGAGCTATCCGTCCCCTCCTGAAGTGTTGGGTCCACTGTGGGACTCAGAGCGGACAGCTGGAGAGGTGTGAGGCTGGGAAGGGGTACTTCCTGCAGGTTCCTCAGGGGGCCAAGGGCCACATGGCTCCCAAACCCAGCACTGGTGACAACTCTGGCTAGTCTTCCTGGCAGGAGTCAGAATACAGTTTCTTCCCTCTGGCCAGTTTCTCCATCAGCCTGCCAGTACTGCTGCTGGCTATAATTCCTCAATCTGGCTTTTAAGAATCATGTTTTGCAAAATGGCTTTCCTGCCTTGCTGGAACATCTCCAGACTTGTGATCTCAGGCCCAGTACCCAGCAGGGCCCTCAGGTCTGCCCTTGCTTTGTATTGTGTTAGCCGCTGTTGGTACGAGTCAGACCTGAACACTAAGTCAAATACTGCTTTAAGAATGTGTGGAGGGCTGGGCGTGGTGGCACACGCCTGTAAACCCAGTGCTCGGGAGGCTGAGGAAGGAGGATCTCTGTGAGTTCGAGACCAGCCTGGGCTACATAGTGAGTTCCAGGTCAGTCTCAAAGACATAGTGAGACCCTGTCTCAAAAAAACAAAACAAAACAAAAGAATGTGATATAGATAATGATCTACAGCTCACCCATAGAGGTTCTCTGTCCTAATTCCCAGTAAAATAAAAGAAAGCTGATAAAACGATAAAACTGGGGGGTGGGCAGAATTTGCTTTCAGCAACCAATACAATAACCCTCAAATGTGGCCTCCAAACAAGGACATAGAGCAGCAATGGCTCATTTTTAGAGCTTTCAATGCTACGAACAGCCTGCTGAGGCACACGAGCCACAGCTTCACTAGCACTGGTACAGAGGACCCTGGAGGGGCCAGGGGAGGCCCAGCACACCTGTGCCTTGCCCTCCACTCCCACGCATGGTCAGACTCCTGAGCATCCTCCCTCCTTCTCCTGCATCCCAAAGGAATCAGCGTGAGTCATGCCTGACCTTCCTCCTCTTCGGAATGGGCTGTATTAAGTGTGCCGTGGACAGTGGAGCAGGAGCTTGGGCCACCCAGCTGCTTGGCTGATGGAAGTATGAGGTCTGCCCCGACGACTAAGAGAGGGAAGACTGGCTGCTGCTGCTCCAGCTGGCTGCAGACCTTGGCTTCATCCACATGGCGCTGGTTTTAGGTGCATGCAGAGTGCGAGAGTTGTGGGGTCAGGAAGGCTTCCAGCCGGGTTTCAGAAGAAGGCCGGGGAGGCCAGGCGGGGCGCCCGAGAGGGCGGTGGGTGAAGTTGTGAGTGTGAAGCCAAAGGCGCAAGGAGACCCCAGAAGTTTCCAAAAGCCAGGAGCATGGATCATCTGAGAAAAACTGCAAAGAGGGAGCAGAACCGGCCCAAGAGAGAGGCCACGGGAGCTATAACAACCGGAAGTGCTGTAGGGGTGGAGACACCCAAGCCCTTTGGACTTTACAACTTGTCACAGGTTGCCAGGGATGCTAGAAGTGGAGCTGTGAGATTTAATGTTTGCCCTGCTGGATTTTGGTCTTGCTTTGTTCCCATTCCTTTGTATTCCCCTATATGGAACCTTTGGAATGGAAATGTCTGTCTTATCCTTGACTGTCGGAAATGCTTATCTTTCTTTTCATTTCTACAGGAGCTTGCAGCTAAGAATTTGCTTTAAGTCTCAGAGGAGACTTTGGACTTGGGCTTTTCAGCAGTGCTGAAACTGGACTTGAGCAACTTTTACAGATGGACTAAATACTTTTTTGCCTAAAGGGATGCTCATGAATCTTTGGGGGGGCCAGGGCAGAATGTTACAGCTTGTGTCTATGTCCCCCCAAAGCCTCATGAGGTCATGGACAATTTTGGAGGTGGCTGGAGCTAGCGTTTGTGATTGGTTCATGGTAGACCTGCAGCGTGAGTGCTCACCACCCCAAGTAGTCTGAATAAAATAAGAGGGGTAGAAAGATGCCGTTAGGTTATCTTGCTGCTTTTGTTGTCTTGAGCCACTCATGAGCTATTGCTCCTGTGCCTCTCCACCTTGGAGCCAACTGATTACGGACTGAAACCACTGCAAACCGTGGGCTTTCCCCTCTTAAAAAAAAAGAAGAAGAAAATATGTGGTGCAGAACAACACAGATGGGGCCACCGAGCCGAGGCCAGGGTTGTCTCCCTTTCTTGGGAGACATCTGTAGCCTCCTCCTGTCCGGCCTCAGATAGGAGGCACAAACCCTGGTGGAGGACATGACAGGAAAGCCCAGGACCGCAGCACTCCCAGCTGTTCTAGCACAGCCTCCAGGCTCCTCCGGCTGCCTTCTCCCCTCTCCCTTCTTCCTTTCAGGCTGCTGCACAGTGTAGAGAACCCAGAGACCCAGCTAGGCCCTTAAGGCAGAGAGAAAAACAGACTGGTCCTCAGACAGTGGGGTGGACAATGGTCAGGGACTCCTCTCTCCACCATGTTTTGGCAGCATGAAGCTCTGGACCAGAAGGACAAGAAAGGAGGGCAGACACAAGGGTGCCAAATATTCACGGTAAATAAGGGGAAAAAGGCAAGAAGACAAGCCTCCCTCCGCCTGCTGCCCCACATCCTAAGGAATTGCTTGCAACTGCTTTGAATGTAAAAACACTCACGAACGTGATTTAATAAACCGGGGTGACAAAGATGAGATGACAAAATCAGGGAATGAGATAAAGAAACATCATTGCAGATCCAATCAGTAAATCACAACTAACAAAACAGAGGATGCATCCACTGAAACTCAAACTACTGAGTTGCACAAGCTAAATCTGTCAAAATGATTAAAGCAATTAGAATAAATAGACACGAAAGACAGCAAAGATGATCCAGTGTAAGGATTGTTATCCCTATAGAAGAGAAGCCAATGGGCCGGGGATTTAGCTCAGTGGTTCTGCCACCTGCCTTGCAAGCTCAAGGATTGGAGTTCAATCCCAGGTATCAAAAAAATAAAAAATAAAGAAAAGAAGCCAAAAAACAGAGAGCCAAAACAGAACTACAATGCAGAAAAAAAAAAACAAACCAAAAAAAAAAACAAAAACAAAAACTTCACACTGAAAGAAAATAACTATGTTTCAAAAAAGCTTGATTCACAAGGCTTAACTACTAAAATACCTCTTAGTTAAATTGAACTAAGCAATGATGAAGAATTACTTCTTTAGCTAGCTAAGCAGGAAAAAAAATGTCAGCTACAGGGGCGAAATTGAGGCTGCTGTCACACTTCTTCCCAAAATAGTAAAGAGCAAAACCTACAACCTTCTGTGGGGAAGAAGGTGAGACTCAAGAATATTATACACTAGGATATGGTTCTAGTGTAGAGGTGCCAGTATTTTTAAAATACTGAGGATGGAAACCAGGGCCTTGTGCGTGCTAGGCAAGTGCTTTACCACGGAGCTACACCGCCATCCTAAAGCCTTCTTGGAAAAACAGCTGAACCATGAAATTCAGCCTGTTATGAGATGAATTGAAATAAAGATCTTGGAAATTGAAAAGCGTTGGTAGAAGGACCAGTGATGAACATGGAAGTGATTTAAATTTATTTTTTATTTTGTGATTATTTTTTGTTTTGTTTTGTTTTTTTTGAGACAGGGTCTCAGTTTGGAGTTTAGGCTGACCTGGAACTCACTATGTAGCCCAGGCTGGTCTCAAACTCAGGATCCTCCTGCCTCAGCCTCCTGAATGCTGGGATTACAGGTATGTGCCAGCACACCCAGCTGAAGTGATTTAAATTTAGAATGTACGCGAAGTAACTATAGAATTATGTTTACAGAGCAGAATAGGATTGCTGTAAACCTAGACAATGTAATAATAACAAGCAGCTGAAGTCAGGAAGCTGCAGCAGGAGAGAAGGGAAGAGTCACCAGAGCTTATTTTTCAGAGCAACACACACACACACACACACACACACACACACACACACAAATTGAAACGTGTACTTCAAGAAAATGACTAACCTCTTACTGTGTTAAACAATTTTTGTTTAACCTTGGTGGTATCTTTTGGGAAGTAATATCTTTTGTGGTCAAGAAACGTTCTTCGAAGCTCAACTCTTCCTTCAGTTTTACTTCCACTTCTTTCGCTCCTTTTAAATTCAAGTAACATGAAATATAATGCTTTTTAATTTTTAATTAACTTTTTAATTCAATGGCATTGGTATTGTGGTCCCTATTTGCATAAAATATCACTATTGTTTCTCGTCCTGTCTGTAAATACTCATAGAAAACTTTCTGGAATAATGTAAATGAAATGTTCATGATGGTCCTTTCTGAACTGTGGCATTGAGATAGTCTAAACTCTTCTATATTGTTTGAGTTATTTAAAGTGTATGTCATTTTTATTAAAACATACAATTTTTATTTGAAAAAGGAGTGGATAGGATAAAAAATTGTCTGCAGTTGCTGGGCATGGTGGCGCACACCTGTAATCCCAGCACTCGGGAGGCTGAGGCAGGAGGATCGCTGTGAGTTCAAGACCACCCTGGATTACATAGGGAGTTCCAGGTCAGTCTCAACTACATAGTAAGTCCCTGTCTCAAAAAAACAAACAAAAAATAAATAATTTTAAAAATTGTAGTTAATGCGGAATGGTGGTATATGACATTTCCTTGCTCATCGTTTTTATATTCTAATGTTTCAAAAAAAATAAATACAATTTTAATGTTTTAGTGGAAAAAAATCTTCAGATATCTCACTGTGACCAAAAAATACAGCCTAGGCACAGACCGGGAAGAAATTGCAGGTATTTTCTGATTGATGGACAGAACAAAGACCCCATTGCTCAGCTCTGGCCGATGGAATATAAGCAGAAGGGCCTATGGCAGGTTCTGGAATAACGAGAGCAGTTGCTCATTTTTCTCTGCTTTACCTTCATTCCCTACTGCTTCCTGGAATGCAGCTAAAGTGTCACCATTTTGGATCATGACAGACATTCAAAGCAAAGAGACAGAAACTTCTGCGTTGTTGAAGCCCGTGATGTCATCTGAACTGAAACGTGCCCTTCCTACACACATATGCAGAAGTTTAGTCTCTGGTGCCATTTGCATTGTGCATCAGTGAGGAAAGAGGAAAGCACCGGTTTGCTATACTCAAAACACATGAGCTAAATGTGACAGATACGTTTTTATAACAAAATACTAAGACAATATTTTTATGAACTTGAGATTGGAAAGGATTTTTTTCCTTTCGTTTTGTGTTTTGAGACAGGGTCTGACTATATAGTTCAGACTGGCCTGGAACTCACGGCGATCCTCCTGTGTCAGCCTCTCCAGGACTGGGATTGCAGGCGAGGGCTACCGCAGCTGGCTTTTCCTTCTGGGTTGGTTTTTCCCTCCCTCCCTCTCTCCCCTCCCTGTCTCTCTGTCTTTGGCTGTGCCTGGAACCCAGGGCCCCGTAGCAGCAGCTGCTGCTGCTCCTCCTCCTCCTGTTCCTCCTTTTTGCCTTTCTAAAAAGCAAAAAGGAAAACCATAAGAAAATAACAGGTAAATTTGACTATAAAAATTGTAAACTATAAACAAAAATAAAAGATAAACAAGAGGCCTGGAGTACAGCATTTCCTGCAGTGCTTGTGCATCGTGTTCAGGGTTGGTGTGGTGCTGGACTTGCCGGGGGCACAGGGGGAAGGGACGTCAGCTAAGCTGAGGATCCACTACAGATCGCACGATTCAGGCAGCGACGATGCACGTCAGCTGATCAGACAGCGCTGAGGACCTCCACAGAAACTATCTTTGGTATGGAACGCAGCATGCCTCAAGATTATATTGTTGGACTGATCCTCTCTTGTTGCAACATCCGTGGATCTCTCCTGGGAGGGTGAGGACGACTGGGAGAGGCTGTCACAAGAAATAACACTGCCCTGGGAGAAATGACCGTTATACAGTCCTATCTGGGTACTCGGCTGCTTTCAGACTCCCTGAACGTGGTACTTAATGCGTTTTGACCTGAAGAATGTGTCCCGGTATCTGACACTGGATACCTGACATGCCTTGGAGACTTTGTTGGTGTGGACTGCCCCTGACTTGCTGCCCTTCCTAGCTAAAGCAATCAGTACTCATCCTGCCCGCTGGAACCAATTAATCCCATGACAGGCACTGAGGTACTGCTGCGCTCAGCTTTTGGATCCCTACTGGTAATTCTGACTCCCTCAGAAGTTCTGTCCAGAAGCAGCCGAAAGGAGTAGTAGCCATAACGACGATGAAGGAATTTTTGGTTTGGAAAATAGGAGTGAATTCTCCTAAGTTAGGGAACATATTCCAGCAGAAGGAAGAGAGCTGTAGCCTGGGTTTTGCTTTCTCATAGCTCTTGCTGGTACAGCTGGCAGTGGATGTTTCACAATACACCCAACTATGGATAAATGACGATCTCTCTCTCTCTCTCTCTCTCTCTCTCTCTCTCTCTCTCTGTCTCTGTCGGATCGAACTCAGGACCTTGCACTTTGGAGATAGGCGCGATGCCCCTGAGTTAAATCCCCAGCCCTGAGGAGAAATGAAACAGAACATTTCAGCTACAGTTCAGAGCCATTTACCTTCTTTGTCTTCCTTCCCTTCCCCTTCCTACCTCCCCTTCCCCTTCCTACCTCCCCTCCCTCCCCGTCTTTCTTTCTGTCTTCTTCCTCCTCCTTCTTCTTCCTCTTCCTCTCCTGCTCCTCCTCCTCCTCCTTTTTTCTGAGACAGGGTTTCTCTGAATCCATGAGTTGGCCAAGCGGAGCTCGCTTGTGATCATGTAGCGATGAGTAGTACCTGTCTTTTTAGGGTAAGGAAAGGGAGGCACAGTTCAGTGACTTGCGGGCAAGCTCACGGGGTGAAGGCGCGTTCCAACCATAGACCCAGCTCCCTTAGTCGCAGATCCGGCCTATTTTACGGAGAAATGTTGAAGAAACTTACGTTGAAGGGCTGTTGTGCAAGTCCAGGGGCTGAGGTCGGCTGGGTCACCAGCCAGAGACAGTGGGGAAGAGCCGCTCCGGGTGGGGTGGGAGGTCCAGGGCACCACAGCACCACTGGAAGGCTGGGAGGGCGCTGGCGCGGGCCTGGGCGCGGGTCCACATGCGCTCTGAGTGGGGGGAAGACACCGGGGGTGCTGGGTGTGGAGCAACCACACCTAGACGAGGCCCGGCAGGGGCAAGGCGGGGAGCAGACAGGAAAGTAAGAGGGCAGGGGAAGGGAGGCTTCCGACGACCGGAGCCGGACTGTGTGTGGACAGCCAGGGAGAAGGGTGCAGAGCCTGGAGAGGCCTCGGGTTTGGGCGGAGGAGCCGCCCTCGGAGCGGCCGCG